GGTTGAGCTATAGGCGCCGAGCCCCCAGTTCTTTCTTGCCCTGGTCCTCCTAAGTCACAGAGAGCCCCTGCCAGAGGCAGGGGTGGGCCTTAGAGCCCCATGGCTGGTTTCCACATGCACCATGATTAAGCGGTACAATGGTGCTGAGCTCAAGAACCTCCTCTGGCTCCAGCCTTCCTCTTCCTGGCAATGCATGGGAGTCACTGGTGTGCCCCCTCACCACTCCCTGGACACTCCTTCAGGCGTCTCAGTTGGCCCAGACCAGCCCTGGGAAGTGGTTAAGGAGGGTTAGGTGAGCATGAATGGACAAACAGATGAGTTTCCCAGGGCAGAGCTTCTGAACTTCATTACAAGCAATGTTATTACCCTACAGAAAACTACTATTCCCACCCCAGGACCCCCCCCCCAAAGTTTTGGGCCTTGTAGAAAATTAAATGTCATTATTTTGAGTAGGTGAGTTTTGTAGTGAAGGCCATAATATCCCTACACTCATTTTAGTACAAAATAGCCTTAATTTTTTTCAAAAGTCACATTTTAAGATTACTCTTTATCAAGTAAATTGATGCTTCCAGAAGAGCACCATGTCAATCCTATAGGTTTATAGACACCCCCCCACACCATATCACAGGGAGCCCCAGCAGGCCCCAGGCTGAGGGGCCCAGGTAATCCTAATAAAACTCACCCTGAATAGTGCCTGCTGGGGGCTGACAAAGCCTGAGTCCCAGGGGTCGTTGCCCAGCCCACTGGGCAGGAATTTGTGTCTGAAGCTTCCTGGGTCCTATCACCAACACCCATTTTATAGATGAGGAAAGAGTACAGAACGGACAGGTTAAGGAACTTGGGCAGAGTGATCAGGAGATGAGTTTAGCTCCATATTACAAAGGACTTTCTAAGCCTGTGAATTGTTGGACCTGGGAAGGGGCTGCCTGTGGGAGGTGGGAAGCCCCACATCATCCCAGGCGTGAGCAGCTAAATGCCACCTGCCATCACATGGGGTGGGGAAGATTGGGCTGCAGGCCCCAGCCTAGCTGCACAGCAGTCCTTTGGCACTGAAGAACTACCTGCTAAAAATACAGATTCCTGAGCCCAGCCCCAGATTCTCAAATCAACCTCCAGACGGAGGCCCACAGATCTGAAAACTAAAAAACCCATGGACTGGCCAAGCAAAGTGGCTTATGCCTGTAATCCTAGCGCTCTGAGAGGCCAAGGCGGGTGGACTGCCTGAGCTCACAGGTTTGAGACCAGGCTGAGCCAGAGCCAGACCCCCTCTCTAAAAGTAGCCAGGCATTGTGGTGGGCACCTGTAGTCCCAGCTACTTGGGAGGATGAGATAAGAGAATCTCTTGAACCCAAGAGTTTGAGGTTGCCGTGAGCTATGATGCCACAGCACTCTTAAAAAAAAAAAAAAAGGGCTGTTGCAGGTTCTTGTCTGGGGACAGACCACGTAAGCCTTCTTACCACTGGGTGCCCCAGATGACCTTGGACAGGCCCATAAATCTCTGATCCCTGTCTCATCTCCAAGTGAAACTTGAAATTTT